GGTCGGCTTTGGCGCCTTTGGGCCCCGTCTATAGCTGACTGGGTGGGGAGGGAAAGCCTTCTGCTGTTTTATCCCCACGCTGGCGCCCCGCCCCGCTCCACCGCGCCACAGGCACGCGCCCGCCGCGCCCCCCTCTGCGTGTGGGCCTTGAACCGGGACCCCCACCCCCTTCTCTCCGACAGGTCAGGACACAAAGGGAGAGAAAGAAGCACATTGGAAGCAGCAGCAGCGGAGCAGCACAGCGCAGGGGGTGTTTCCTTTTCCTTACAAAAATTTTCTTACATTTTCTCGTGAAATTTTCACGCGGCGACGGCGGCGGCGGCAGCTCGTTGCGCGCGGCGTGATCGGGTGTGAAGGTGGGAGGTGGCGGGCTTTCTCTCCTTCCGCCCACCGCGAGCGTGGACCTCCCGGCTCACCGGCCTCCCCGCGAAAGCGCCGCCGCCGCCGCGTCGTCGCGCTGCGCTGCAAAATAAAAGCGCGCAAAGGATTTGAATTGGCCCGCCGCCGCCGCACCGCGACGAGGGACGACAACGACGACTGTCCGCCAGCGCACTTCCATTATTTTCCGGTCGGGAAGATAAACTCGTGACACAGTAATAATTGTTTTGTTTTTATTTCGTCGTCCTCGTCGTCCTGCCCTGACTGCATTGTCTGGGTCAGTTGGTAGGGGGGGGGGGGGCGTTCTCCGCTCTGTGCGCTGCCTATCTCTTTCTGTATGTGCTGACTTTGAAATTTCGCGCGGCGTTTGTCGTTTGCGTTTGTGCGGCGGCCGCGATGCGTTCTCCACGTCGTCGGCGGCGGTGGTGTTGTGTCCTTGAGGATTTTAATTTCCGAAACTTTTTCGGGGAAAAATAAGAAATATGTATGATTCAAAAATAACGAGACAAATTTTTAAAAAATCTGAAATTTCCGAAAATACTTCTCTGGAAAGGTGGAATCCTTTTCTGTCTGCATCGCCCTTATCGTGCTGGACGCGTGACTACGCTGTGGGGGAAAGCCTTTGACGGGAGCTATAAGACTGTGTGGCGTAGGCGGCCCTCGCGGGGGTAAACATTTGCAGCCCTCCTTCCCCTGGGGGACGCTTTGGAGCCGCGCGACCCCCCCCCCCCCCGGGCGGGCCGCCGTGACCTTTTCGCCCCCCAAGTGAATGCGTCTGTCTGTATAGCGCTCTGGATACGACACGGATGTGATGTGAGCAGCGCGCGCGTAACCCCTGACCTTCCCTCTCTATCGTGGTTGCGAGGAAGTTGGCATGTTCGGGTGTTCAGCAACCGGCCTCTGGAGGAGCGGCGATAAGTAGTACATGTACAGTGAAGCCGCTGTTTGGAGAAGGCTGGTTTAGCAGATGACACATTGTAGAACTAATTTTATTTTTAGAGCGCATTCTGTATCTTCCAGACGGCTCTCACTAGAAATGCGCGTGGCGTGGCTCTGATTCACCCGCCGGGCCGCTTGCCGCCGTCGTGGTCCTCCCCTCCCCTCCCCTCCCCTCCCCTCCCCT